ACATATAGCCTACTTAAGTATCAAGAAGACCCCAAGCTGTAGCAGAAATGCTCTAGTTAGGGATATAACCAGAAAGAAAGCCACAAAATAAATAAAAAACTAACTGAAGAATAAATATATTGGTGGATTGATGCCTTGCCTCGCTCTACTTTTAACTCAAACCAACCACTAGAATAACTTACCGAAATATGACCTGCCTAATTTCCAAGTAGTTAAGGAAGCCATAACGGACTTCGTCAACGATTTTAGCGGCTCGTAGCAAAACAGAAAAATAGATAAAAAGTTAAAAACTTGCATGACATTTCATCTACGTTTTCATTTGACTTTTTACAAATGTTCACCAATAACAATGGCGAGTCTAAACACTCGAAAGCGGGACTAGAGAGAAAAGGAAAATTGTAATCGAACAAACTTATGTTGGTCGCATCACAGACTTCAAGAATAAAAATTACAAATTAAAAAGAAAATTTAAATCTTTTTTTAAAAAACAGTGGTTTTATATATAATTTTAGATGTTACAAAAATAGGCATGGTATGAAGGTACGCATGAATTGTGAAATTTGGACTGTTGCAAGCATTCATCTAGTCTAACAAAGTAAAAAGTTAAAAGGGCTGAGCACAGAGATGATCGATGTCAACCAAATTGCTGACGATGCTCCAGCAAAATTCTGGAGACAATTCCAGTAATGCGTACGTGAACAAGACAATCCGATTCCTTAGCGATCTCTGTCGCCAAGAATCCACGAATTAATAGCTAAAAATGACAAAATAATGTCAATGTACGTTGAGCTCATGATGAGGAAATTTTTCAAACGGATTTCTTAATGAACTTTACCGCTTTGTTCCTAAATTATTTAAATTATATTCATATAATTATTTTGGCCCGTAATCGTGGCGATAATACGCATTTAATAAAATTTCCAAGAGTTTATTGCATTTAAATCTGCCTAGAAAGGGGTAGTCGTGGATTATCGGCAACCTCAGTCATCAGCAGATTCGTGTGTACACTTGGGGAGGAATGATTGTTACTTATTGGTTGTTCACAGTAGGGCTTGACTACGACGATAACAGCGTGTATGCCAATGTCCGGCGCTTAAAGTTATGTTTTACAAGGAAGCGTTGTTTATATATGGTCTTGTAAGAAAATGTTTTTCTTGTTTTCATATTTTCCTATGTGAGTGAATATTTCTCTTCGACATACACATAATATAAAATTTCTATCTGTGAGTTCAAAAAGTAATGTTTTGAGATTTATTGACAATTCAATACAAATTTCACTTCACGTTTGACGTACCTTTAACAATTCGCTGTTTTTTGTAGGTCGATAGTAATAAGTTGACATTTATGTTATAACAAGTCAATAAAGGTATCGTCGGTACAGGGACCCTTAGCAATAATTCACAGCTAACGACAAGTCAATAGTTTCTTCCGAGATTTTTTTAAACTTAAATGGTGCATCTAGAATTTTTCGTAAGATTAAGGATTGGGCAGTTTGAATGGGACGAATGTTGGAATGTTTGACTGTACCCCACACTTCCAGTCCAAAAGTCCATACGGCTTAACTATGGTGTTGTAACGCACCTTTGATTTTTGAGAGGTAAATCAGAACGTTTGTCAAGAAGTTGTGCAGGAGCTCTGTCATAACCTTCTGACGTTTCAGTCGTGTGTGAGGATTCCACGTCAGGCGTTTGTCGAGATACAGTCCGAGGTACCGCACTTTGCCCGCAGTTCGGAGGGGAATTAAATGTAAATTAATTAATTAAAAATTATTTAAGTGCACGGAAGTGAAGGTGGATTTGTCTGTATTAAATTTTATTCTTCCCCTTTTACACCAAGATTCTAGTAGGGTGAGGTGTTGGAGGTTTCTAGTGGAAATGGCAGGATCGGAGTTGCTAGAGAGAACTGCTACCCGTAAGTGAATGTGGGGTTTGGGAAGTAATGGAATGTCAGCTGTGAACACTAGTATAGTGTGGGGCCCAAAACGCTACCCAGAGGAACAGCCGCATGAATAGGGAAATATACAGAGAGGGAATAGCATCTTGAAAAAATCGGTCAGTGATGTAACTGTGCAGTGTAAGATAGTAGGTGGATGGAAGGATTGAGCATGAACAGCAAACCCGGGTGCCAAACTCGGTCAAATGCTTGGCTTACGTCAAGAAAGGCCCTAGAACTGTCCCATCTCAAGGGAGGAGGAAATAATGTGTTCGACGACTGTGCAATGCCACTGGTGGACAGTTTGTTTAACCCACCAAACGTTTTTCTTTCCACAACAAGATAATTACTACTTTTTTCATATAAACTGAAAGAGCAGTACCAATTTTTATCTCTAATTGTATACAAGCCAATAAAGTAAACGTAAAACGGCCTGGCTGTTAACAACTCATTTTTATTCTTTTTGTTTTTATTATTCCACTTTTATTTTTTTTCCTATTATAAGTATTTTTTTATTCTTATAATAAAAATTTAGCCATATGTTATGACAATTCAATTAAATAAACCCTTAAGAATTTACAGATTTTTCTAACTGGCCAATTGTTACTTCCCACAGTGTGATAAGCCAGTGACAGTACATCAAGTCAGTACATACAGTACATACTGGTAGAGTGTGAGAAATAAAACATTACAGATTAAGGTACGACCAGACGAAAAGAAAATCTTGGTGACTACCAACAGAACTTATTGGAATATTTACGAGTTGTGAAAGCGTATGATTTACTATAATCTGCCCCTTTGCCTACGTGCAATATGAATGTATGTATTCATTAGCGAGAATGATGAATGAATGTGTATGAATGAGAACAGGCCGTTCAACAGTAAATCCAAGTACTTCGACGGTCTGTTATCTAGGTTTAGACTTTTTTGGTATGAATGAAAGGAGTGGACATTGGCGGAATATTAAGTACCCCGGTGGCCCCATATTTATCTTTTATTTGTACATAAGCGTGCAGACGAATGAGTGTATTTATTAGCGTGTTTGATGATGGATGCAAGAGTACTTTAAATAGGTACGGGAATCGATGAGAATGAGAGCAGGCCGATCGTCGGAATATTTCAGTACCTCGATGGCCTTTTCTAGGCATAGTCCTAGAGTATGAATGAGAGGAGTGGTCGTCAGCGGAATATCAAGTACCCCGGTGTGCCGCGATTCATTCTTAATTGTATATAGTATGGCATATGAGTAGACAAATGAATGTATTTATTAGCGGGTTTAAATAGGTGAGTGAATTAGTGAATGAATATCGATTGTTGGTATCTGATGGTATGCAAAGGGGCGAAGGTGTCCCAGGTCATTGCAGACGTAAGAAAAGCATCGAGTACATAGGGTAATTTGAAATAATATAAAAGTGGAGAGAGGAAAATTGTTGTATGCTGGCTATGACCTAGTTGCTTACAAATTGGTCAATAAATGTCAATTGATCTTGCCCTTAATATGTAAATTTCAGTTTTATAACTGGTCAATAGTTACTTTATCTGGTCAAATAATCAGTGGAAGTTAAAAGTTGCTGTCTGAATTGAAATTGTCAGCACCTAGCAAATAATACTTTCTATCACATAACGTAAATGGACAATAAATGTCATTTAAATTTCCTATAACAAATCAGTTCTTAATTACTGTTCAATAATTATTTTTTCAGCTCAACTAATCAGTTAAAGTTTACATCTGCTTTCTTAATTCAAATTAACAAAGGATAGCAAATAATTTTTATAACATAAGAAATTGGTCAATAAATGTCAATTGATCCTGCCTATAATAAATAGCAGTTTTATAACCGCTCAATGGTTACTTTTTCTGGTTAAATAATCAGTTAAAGTTTATATATTATATGCTTTTTTAATTCAAATGTACAAAGCATAGCAAATAATTTTTAAAACGTGAGAAATTAATCAATAAATGTCAATTGATCTTGCCCTTAATAAAGAACAGTTTTATAACTGGTCAATAGTTACTTTTTCTGGTCAAATAATCATTTAAAATTTATATATTTTATGCTTTCTTAATTCCAATGTACAAAGCATAGCAAACAATGCTTAAAATGTGAGAAATTAGTCAATAGATATCAATTGATATTGCTCTTCATAAATAGCAGTTTTATAACTGGTCAATAGTTACTTTTTCTGGTCAAATAATCATTTAAAATTTATATATTTTATGCTTTCTTAATTCCAATTTACAAAGATAGCAAACAATGCTTAAAATGTGAGAAATTAGTCAATAGATATCAATTGATATTGCCCTTCATAAATAGCAGTTTTATAACTGGTCAATAGTTACTTTATCTGGTCAAATAATCAGTCAAAGTCAATAGTTGCTATCTGAATTGAAATTGTCAGAGGCTAGCAAATAATCCTTTTCATTACACAAAGTAACTATTCAATAAATGTCATTTAAAATTCCCTATAACAAATCAGTTCTTTATTACTGTTCAATAGTTACTTTTTCAGCACAAATAATCAGTTTAAGTGTATATCTAATTTCTTGATTCAAATTAACAAAGGACAGCAAATAATGTTTATAACGTGAGAAATTGGTTAATAAATGTTAACTGATCTTGCCCTTTTTATAGTTTTATAACCGGGTCAATAGTTATTTTTCTGGTCAAATAATCAGTTAAAGTTGATATATGCTTTCTAAATTAAATTAAGAAAAGATAGAAAATAATATCTATAACCTAAGAAATTGGTCAATAAATGTCAATTGATTAATAAATAGCAGTTTTAAAACTGGTCAATAATTTTTCTGGTCAAATAATCAGTTGAAGTCAAAAGTTGCTTTCTAAATTCAAATTGTCAGAGCATAGAAAGTAATAAGTGTTATTTCAGTTTTACGGTAGGTATTACGGAACTTCGCAACTTCTCATTTTAAAAGAGTAAGAATGTTAATAAATTCATTTGCCAAAACGGACAGTACTACGCGTCACATTTAATTTAAACTGACACAGTTCGGTAAAACAATGTTTAATGATATTTTACGTAAATGATAATTGTTTATCTATCCTTACCTGCAAAACAAAATCCGTTTTTATTATCTTTAACTTTGTATACTTATTATTACTTTGACTTTAACTTTTTGTACACTAAATAAACGTTCATTTGGAGCACTTTTCTCAGGATGACTGGAATGTCAGGTCAGATGCCGGTAGTTCGTTTCTTCTAACTGCACCACTGCTGCCTATATTAAAGATACAACGTTGAATTTTGTATCTTCCTTTCTTTACATCAGCAAACCAATTCTGCAGTTTTTGGGACTATATTATATCAGTAGTTTTACAACTATAACCGATTAAGTAATTTTTACGATTATTAAGTGTTAGCGTAGTTTTTGCCTCATATTGACAGTTAGCGCGTCCAAATCGGAATTCGAAAGACGCGGGAAACGTGAGATTATAGGAAAATTGATTATCGTGTATAAACCCTGACGTTCCTTATTTGTATGTTTTTTTTATAGTCTCTAATCACGCCCGGAACTAATAAGAAATGTGAAATTTTGAGCCAAATCGGTCTATTGAGGGATAGCGCCTCGAAATCCGAATTCGAAAAACTGTATCATACCGGGAGCCGAAGGCCCGTCTGGAAAGCTGACATGAAAAAATGGATCCCACAAATTCCTGAAATTTCTTTCTTTTTTTTTGTAAATTCTGACGCCCATTATTTGTTATATGCCCATTTTACAGTTCTGAACCCACCCGGCACTAATAAAAACAAAGTGTGAAGTTTTATTGAAATCGGTTCAATAGATTATAATCTAGTTAAGATTGGTAGCTCATGAAAGAACTAGTTCAAACGAACTATTCCAGAAAACGAATTATATTCACCTCTCTTTCTTTTTCGTTTTTCATTTTTCTATTCTGAACATTTTTGAAAATAATTTTTGTGCTTAGTGAACTATTTCAATAAAATAAATTGTCCCGAAAGGAAGTATTCCTCAAAAGGAACGGCTTTTCCCATCTATAGTAGAGATATGGAGCTCACGAACGAGCTAGTTCAAACGAACCACTCACGAAAAAATCTACAATGACTTTTTTGTGAACAATTCTCTTTCAATTTTTTCTTTACCTGTATTAATATCTTATTCGAAAAGAATTTCATGAAAAAAGTGAAAATCCACTTTAAAATCGTAAAACAACAGTTGTTTTGCTTCATCAAAAAGTCATGAACTACTAATTCTTTCATTTCTAGTAGAGATATGGAACTCATGAACGAACTACTCAAGAAAAAATCTATATTGACATTTTTTTGAGCCACAATTTTATTTCAGTTTTCTCTTTTCCTGCATTAATATAACTTATTCGAAACTAATTTCGTCAAAAAAGTTAAAATCTACTTTAAAAAAGTAACGTAACAAATTTTTTTACTTCTCAAAAACTCAACTTTCAAATAGTTCTCTGACCTGGTTCAGTAGAACGAACTGTCCCGAAAAGAACTATTCCTCAAAAGTACGACTTTTCTCATTTCTAGTAAAGATATGGAGCTCATGAACGAACTAGTTCAAACGAACTACTCACGAAGAAATCTACAATGACTTTTTTGTGAACTACAATTTTTTCAGTTTTTTCTTTTCCTTTATTAATATCTTATTCGAAACGAATTTCGTTAAAAAAAAGTTAAAATCTACTTTAAAATCGTAACGTAACAATTTTTTTGCTTTTCCAAAACTCATGAACTACTAGTTCTTTCAAATAGTCCTCTGAACTGGTTCAATAGAACGAACTGTCCTGAAAAGAACTATTCCTGAAAAGTACGACTTTTCTCATTTCTAGTTAAGATATGGAGATCATAAACGAACTAGTTCAATAAAAAGAATCGCCCCGAATGGAACAATTCCTCAAAAGGAACGGCTTTGTCCATTTCTAGTAGAGTCGTGTCGCTTATGAACAAACTAGCTCTTAAGAATAATTTCAAGAAAAGAACTATATTGATATATTTAGTGAATCATGAGTCTCATGTATAATAAAACTTAGTTCAGTTGATAATAAATGATTTTCCCGTTTTTCCTTGAGCGGGGAGCGTGAGTGGCTGTGAGTGCGCGTGAGCGGCTCCCCCCACCAGGGGCGTTCGGCCGCCGATCGCACTCTCTCCCGGTCGCGAGCGAAAGGCCCCGGCCGCTATCCGCCTCCGGTCCGACACCCATCCGCACCACGTCCGCCCGCTCCTCCTCGCTTCGCCTTCTTCCCCGTTCTCGCCCCCCTTTCTCACCGTGTGCGACCACAGGACGTCGACGAGAGGATAAAAAAAAGGTGAGTAGCGAAATCGTTAGAGATTTACGACGATGGAAAAAGGATTCTCTGAGCCGTACAGGTCGAATCCGGTGTTTAACCTTTCACCCGCGTCCTTTTCGCTCTCCTGCCATCTCGTCCGCCTTCATATTTGTTTGAAAGCTTTTCTCATTTTCAACCGGTGAAATGTATCAAATTTTCGTTTTATTCTATACCTCGTTCCGTTTTGACTTCTTTGCACTTATTCCACTTTTTATCCGCCATTTAAAAACCCAATCAATTTCTCCGGCAAGTTCGCCCGGGCGCATCGCGTTTTTTTAAATAATTTTTTTATCCGCTTTTAGAACTTTTACTAAAGAGTAGGGTCTGAAGATTCTAAAACGGCTCCTTGTCTGATTTACACAGCCGGCCGAGTATGAACTTCAAAACCCCAAACTTTCCTAAAATTTACAAAATCCTATGTACTCATTAACCAAAATATAAAAAAAGAAAGGAAAACACTGGCCTGGAGTCAATATTTGCCGTTGTGAAATCACACGCGGCGTGATTTTTACGACTCTTTCATTTTATTTTATCGACTCCGTTTGACAGCATCAGAGTTTTCCCGGTTAATTTCGAACCGAAAAACGTAAATTGTTATCCAGATACCATATGCCGTGTGAGAACTAGATAGAAATTTTAACAAAAGTCAAGTGTAATTAGCGTCAAAAAACAAGATTTAACTTTAACAACGCTTAGCACGCAGTATCCCCTTCATCTGGCCATTATGTGAATGATTTCAATCTCTCATTCCCGGCATTTTTCAAATCTTGTTTAAATTCAAAAAGCTTATGCAAATTTAGGAGGAAAGGCCAATTCTTTAAGAAAAAAATTGTCCCAACAAAAGAAAGATTCTGCGACGCAATAATCAACAAAAAGCCCCCCCCCCCAAAAAAAAAAAAATCCTAATCCTTAACTATAAAAAATATCAAAATTTGCACTTTTTTTCAATGGAAAATTCACAAATAATCTTGTTTAATTTATTTGTTTGAAATATTTTTCACCTGGCAAACTAAACAATATTCACCCCAAAACACCCGCTGCTTAATTTATTTAAGGCTCCCGGTCTTTTTATAGCGCGTTGCCTTGAAGAAGGACCTAGTTGCACTTAGAAATGTCAACAGAATCATAATAATGTTCAAGGGAGACATCTATTTATGCGCCACTTGCCCCATTTAAAAAACAAAAAGATAAATATATGCATGGTTTCTCATTTGTGTGAATTTATTGTTTTGTATCTAACGTAAACCTCAAAAGCGACGCGTATTGCACTTGTACTGCACAACAATGTGTAACGTGTAGTTTTTGTCCATGAGATTTACTTATTTTTCTGTATTGGGTGATTAACATGAAATTTTATCGTCACTAATCATTTTGGTCTGCCTAACATCGCTTGGTTTGATCTGTCAGATATGTTTCTGCATTTCACCATCAATATCTGGAAACGGAAGACTGTAACAACTGGAAATGGAACAAATCACAATTTTCAATTCAGGACTAAACTGGATAAGTTAAAATAAATACTTTTCAGGATTGCGATTTTAAAGTTTTAGACCTTCAGTCCAAGCAAAATTATCAAAATGTTGTGGTTTGTAAAAAGGCACATTGTTTTTAAATTGAGAGTGGTTTCGACAATCGATTATTCTATCTCGTTTCGCCAAAATTCAATTTATTCAGCTTTACACTAAGGGTGCAGAATTTAGCCTGTATATTTATTGATTTAATTTTTATTTGTGGCAAAAAAATTTATTTTACAAATGCTAAAAGCAACTTGAAAACTCATTCGTATCAAACAATGGGTTTTCCTTTTCCTCCTCTTTTTTATTTTTTTTATGCAAATTTTATGGGGCAGACTTATTAAGTCTTCCAATCATATTCAAATTGTCGTTATTCTTTGTATAAGGTCTGTAATTGGTTGAAATGAAAAAGTTAGTGTCACTAGCCAAAGGTCGTGGGTTTGAATCCCGCTCGTGACATTATTTTTCATTTCAACCAAGACCTTACATACAGAGAATAATTAATTGAAAGAAGTATTTTGGTCAATCAGAACACTAAACATATGGATTTAAATAGTAGGTAGCATCCACCAAAGCATCGCGATTTTGAATGTTTTTTTGTCAATCTACAAAATTTATATCAGATTTTCCATTGTCTCTTAATTTATAATTATGGGCTATTTTTTCCTAGCTAGGCAAATTTAAATGGATTTTACAAATTTTCACATATATACAAAGAGAAAACAGCTATTATCTAAACAGGGGTTTATTTGACACTGGATCGAATTATCACAATTGTTTGCAACATAAAAAAACACATCCTTCGAATTTCTCAATAGACAAATTCCATAAACAAGATGTGAGTAAAATAGACCATAATATGCTATTAATACTATGATGGTATGTAATTTAAGTTCCAGTTTCCCAATAAAAATCAAGGCTGAGATCCTTGTACAATCTGAAGAATATTCAGCTCGAATCTCTTTCTCTTTGAAAATCTAATATAATCAATAATCAGGAAAAACCATGACTTGGTAACTATATCTAATTATAGTCTATAGTCATCAAATAATGATAATGGCAGTAACTCATATCCTCGTATCCAAATACAATATTTATCAAAAGAAAAACTGATATGTTTAAACCCAGTATTGCTCATGTTTTTTACCATTATTGTATAAATTGTACTAAAGTCAATAATTCCAATATGTAATAAACAGCCAATAAATCAATACCAAAGGTCTAAGTATTATTAGATATTTATTTGAAGTTCAAAAGTTTGAACAAAAATGAATTTAATGAAAGCTTGGTATCATTATGACAAGAAACTAAAACTAATTTATAATTTAAATATTAACATTTTTCTGTGACTTGAAAATTTTGAGAGTTAATTTAGTTCCTCCATTAACTGGAACTAGGCATATTAAATTAACAAAAAAAAAAAAAAAATCGAAAACAATGTTTATGCTGATTTCAGAAAAATTACAGGAAACATTTCTTAAATCAATGTTTCACCTTACTTTGTGGTTTATTTCTAACTTAAAAATTAAGTGTTACAAGTGCTTTTATTATTTTTTAATAGTCACTGATTTTTCATCATATTTTCTATGTAAAGCTGCATGTTCTCTCCCTTTCTAATTTCTTTCCCAACATTTAATGTTTTATGTTTTTATGTGCTGCCCCATTCAACACTTACCAACCAAAAAACCAGAAAAAGTGTATATAACCTGTATTTATATTGTTTCTAGTCTAAAAAGTCAATATGTCAATATTATTAACAAACCGAATCCACTTTTACAATAGTTTTTTTTATTCTGTTTCAGTGTGATCTGAGTTAATCGTTCTCTCTGCCACCCTTTTGTTACCCAAGTCCGCCTTCACCACCCTAAAATGGATTCCGAAATCAAGTTCTCCAATGAAGATCCGAGCGTCACCCTAACCATCCGCCTGATTATGCAGGGCAAAGTAAGTAGCATGCGTTTCCTGTTTGAAATTGACCCATGGCAACCAATTTATTTTAAGGATATCGACACAGTGAATCCTGGCCGGGATATCTTTAAGGCTTTCCAGTGTGCCAACAAATGTTGCGACCTTTTTTTATATAAATTTAGCCATGTTGTACTGTCGAAAATGTCGGCTAGCATGCTTGAATTATCTGGCTCGGTGCATGTTTTCATTCTTATCGAGACAGGCAACAGTGATCAAACTTTCCTAAGGCAACATCTGATTAAACTGAACAGAAAATATTCAATTAAATAACAATTTTCATTTGAATCACATCACATTAACAGAACTAAATAATTTTTAATTATTTCTAAATATTTTATATTATTTTAAGATATTTGATGATTATTCGCTGTTATAAGCTATTCTTAATTTTACCGTTTTATCGATGTTTCAAACTATTTTTGTTTTGTCATCCCAATAAGGCATTTTAAACACCCTACGAATATACTGAATCTTTTAATTATACTGGAGTTTAACAAACAAAACTCTAGATCTGTTGATGAATCATTTTTCATATACCAAATTGAACAAGTAACTGCAATAGTACAAATCGTCAGCATCTAGCAATAGTGTATAAACTTTTATCAATCGTTTTACATGGTATTGTTTATCAGATTTTTTCTCAATATTTTTTGGAAATACAGAAGTTTGGATTATTGCACGAGTTTTACTTTTCTTAAAAATATAGTATAAATGAAATAATTTACAGGTGTCGCACATGCAGTATTGCAACAATATATTGAACATAAAAATAAAATAATATATATTTTTTAATCTAAAATTTTCTAGCGTTGTATAAATTCATAATTTTTTTTACACATCCTACATGTATTTGTAAAAATCAAATGATGTTTATAAATCCCAGGCCCTGAAGATGATCTCAATAAAGATTGAAACGTTGGCACGATAAAGAAAATATTTTTCTAAAACCTACGTCACACCAGACCACATCTCACGATCTTTGAATAATCATTGACTAATGGCCACTAAACACTACACATAAAAAAAAAAAAAAATAATAATACACTATATTTTGGAATATAATTGACAACATTGCATTTTAACAATTAATACATTGTGAAATATTGTGTGAGGTCAGCGAGATGATGAATTTGTTGCTTGATCACCTCTGATCATGCCTGCCAGACTTGTTTAATATTTGACCATTTTGCCACTTAAGTGTGTAGACTAAAGTATTACTAGTAAATCACTAAATATTACAGTTGCAACTCCTCATATCCCTGGACAGAAACCTTTTAAAGTTGGTACTGTTTGTTGATCTGTGAGACTGTGAACACATGTTAAACGTAAACCAGTGAGAGTAGATAGTAATGTGATCTATATCGATCAATTCAACAAGAAAACTTGGCCGTTACCGAGTTGTGGTCTTCCTATACTCAGTGTGGATAGATAGACCAATATGGTAATGTCCAAATTGCAGGTTCATCACCCTGCCGACCATATAGAGAAATCTCACAAACTTTTTCGTTACCAAATTCTTTTTAGAAATTATTTTTCTTTTAATTCTTAAATTAGTCTTCTTTTGATGTAATTACCAAAAAAACAATTTTACAAAAAATCTTGATTGTTTTTGCATGTAGGAAAACACTTTTCTCGTCTTACTTGACTCTTGTTGCAGGTATTAACTATGAAAAAATCTAGAAAAATGTTAATGGTAGTTTTTTCAATAAATAAATTAACGGCAATCCTTTGGGTTCAACTGACTGAAAATTATACATAACACTTTTTTTTTTTTTTTGGTTGTTCCGCCTCAACCTTGACCAATATTTAATTAAGCTCCAGTTCAAACATTGTAAGTTTAGATGTTTTTTCTCTTTCTTCCTCTTAATTAACCCAAATCTCGTCACTTATTGTTGTACATTGTTTCTCCTATTCAATTCTTTTTGATATTTTAATTTCAATAAAACACTACATACCTAATGTAAAATTGAAATTGTTTTGTCTAACATAATAGTTTGATTATTTATAAGTAGCTTCAACACTGCATTAATGTGGTACGGCGTTATTCCACTGGAGTAAGGGAATAATTCGATTAAACCGAAACTCTGAAACCGTATAAATGTGCTCCCCCGAGCCCTCACATTATCCAAGAAGAGTGACATAATGTGGTATAGATCCTCTACCAAGCAAAATAGTTAAATACATTAATCAATTTCCAAGAAAAATGCTGGAAAAACTTAACAGATTATTTAGAACGATCAGAAAGAGGTCCTCCTGTTAAAAGGAAAAAAGAATGAATCATTATTGGACAGATAGTAAAGATTTATTCCCAAACAACACAGTACAGTAGATTAAAAAGAGTTGAAGATATTGTTGATGAAAAGCTCAGGTGTAAAAAAACTGTTTTGCGAATCTATAAAAGTGCTTTTGATTCGGCTGGTTGGCCAAGTTTAAAAATTGCCTTGTTATGCAGATTCACTGCAATATACATATTTTGTGGATGTTAAGAAGAGTACGTTTATGTTACTGAGTGCTAATAGATAAAAAAACAATCTCATGTGAAGCAGTGCACATCCAAGTAGAAAAATGCCAGTAGAGTTTACAATAGTAAAAAAGTAAAGTAATTCTTGTCATACAGGAGGGTTTAATATTTTCATAGACTAGGGCTCACACTTCTTTACAATACATTTTTTCAGACTATTACAATTTAAAAAAACAAACATTGGTTTTACTCTGGGATTCGAACCCAGAAACCATGGCAAATAGTATGGCTAATACTAGTCAGACATCTTAACCACTCCAATCTTTTATGAAATGTCAGGAGAGAGTCAAACTTTTCAATTTTAACACAACTGTGGTATCAGGCTGTGGCCTTTTCTATGTCAGTCTAGATGTAATGGTTTTTATCAACATCTCCGAAGGTGTCACAATACAAAAATAAGGTATGAAGGATTATTGAGGGTCCCCGGGGCTGCGGGCCGTCGCTGCCGTGGTCTGGGTTCCCAGTGACCGGGGCATCCGTCACACCTGCAAAATCACTGTGGCTGGATATCAGACGATAAGGCAAAAAAACAAAAAAAAAACACTGCCACCGGTTCCCTCAGCTTAACAAGAAGAAATTTTCAAAAAAAAAAATTGAAATATTAAAATCCACCCTAATCTTGTTTTAGGTTGGCTACAAATAATTACACTTGTAATTCACTATCGTTTCATTTAACATAAAATGTAGAACAATAATATAGTTAAGTGATGGGGCTTGTGAAACAAGTTGGTTACAGCAACAGATGAAGGAACCAATCACTCGCCCTCTGCTGACCATTGGAGCAGATTCAGAGAAGAAGTAACAAACTCTCCCAGTTTTTGTTACTCCTATCCTCCTATTTCTGACCCCTTTGAATCCCCGACAAGGACTGGGAACATGGACTGATTCAAATTTTATTCCTGCCCCTATGCTCCCATGGAGCTCCAGGAAGTCCGGGACGTACGCAGCAGCGTCTAGACCCTCTTCCCTTTTATTTCAATCTGATCTGCTTCCTACAAACTTTCAAACTAAAACCCATTTCCTCCCATTATACCTTGGATATCTAGTTAAACTGTGAAGAATAGCATTCAGCCGAAACAAGAAAGTGAAAAAGAAAGTCAAAGAATGTGATTGCCAGAAGTGATCGCACAATCAGCCTTGAATTTTGAAGCTTTCAAATTCAGTAAGATCTCTCTTAAAGTGACCATTACAGTGCACCTGAAAGAGGGATGCTACTTTATTATGTAAAACACAATGATGTACCATGGAAATTTCTGGTACTTGGAACTGGTGGGTTATTTTTTTCTCATTTGTCATGGCTCATAGGTTTTGGATTATTTAATTTCAGCCATACCATGATTTCTTTTTCAACTAAATTACTTCTGTGTAATTGTGGAGCATTACTATAAGCTTTTACCCATATTTTTTACTTGTTCCTTTAAAACAACAATAAAAAACATGATCAAACGGTTAAACAGCACTTTTATAGTAAACAGAACAGAATAATACTTGCAGGGTGTATAAACAAATATGTAACGAATACTTTTGCTGTTATAACATTAAATATAAGCTTATAGTGTAATATGTTGAATATATCCTCGAATAAATATTTTATTTTGTTTTAGGAGGTTGGGAGTATCATCGGAAAGAAGGGTGAAATCGTCAAAAGATTCCGTGAAGAGGTGAGTGTGACAGGTCCAGCCCGTCCGTTTGGAAAATGATTAGAGCTCATCTTAATCCTTGTTTTTTCAGTCCGGTGCCAAAATAAACATATCTGATGGCTCATGCCCTGAAAGAATCGTCACAGTTACAGGACCGACTCAGTCTATCTATAAAGCTTTTACCCTGATCTGCAAGAAGTTTGAAGAGGTACACATTTTGTTTATCCGTTGGTATTTTTTCAGACGCCCAATTAGGGTTTAACACACTTCTCTGTAGATTTTGTATTCTTTTAATATTTTCAATAGAGTTTGCACTCAATTAGTTAATAAGACTCCTTTGCAATTAATAACTGGCTGAAAATGACTAACAAGTATTTTTCTTATATGGCAAATAAGAAATATAAGTGTAGCGAGTATGCTTTTTAGTTAGCAGTTAAAAATGTAGTTGTTTGTACAATGAAAAGATTGGCAAAGTATTTTTTCTTTTTTTTTTTCTTTTAGTAGGAATTTTCTATTAAGATATCTTGAGGATTTCTCAAACAAGCACCAAAGACCCAAGGCTGCACTTTTTTATTGCAAATACACTTAATCAGTATAAGCGTTCTTTTTACAAATAATTAGCTGAACAGTTGCTAAGAAAAGATTAATTTTTTTGTCAGTATAAAAGGTGTACTGTTAAGTATACTTTGTGCATGGCTCAATAAAAGCAAGGTGGAAATACAAACAAGACGTATCACCTGTTAAAACAAAACCAATCAGCTTTCTTTTGTGTCTGCTTTGTTCTGCGATTTGGTTTCTAATTTATTTTTTTGCTTTTGCCCCTTGTCCTTCTCTGTTTACGCTTCGTAACGCACAGTTTGTGCATCAGTTCCAAGAGATGCAAAATGGAAGCGGTTCGCGATCGCCGATCACGCTCCGTCTCATCGTTCCCGCATCCCAGTGTGGCTCGCTCATAGGCAAAGGTGGCTCGAAGATCAAAGAGATCCGGGAGGTCACAGGTGCGAGCATCCAGGTTGCAAGCGACATGCTGCCCAACTCGACCGAGCGTGCTGTCACCATCACTGGCACAAGTGATGCCATTACCCAGTGCATCTACCATATCTGCCAGGTCATGCTTGAGGTACGTACAATATATTTAATAAATTTAAAAAAAAATTATTTCAACTAATTGAATTTAAACAAAAATGTTTAATTACTTTGCAAAGTCATTGCTAGAGTTCATTTTTTTTCTTTCTAGTCTCCGCCGAAGGGAGCGACAATTCCGTACCGTCCGAAGCCGCAGGTAGCAGCTCCGGTGATCCTGGCTGGCGGGCAGGCGTACACAATCCAAGGGAACTACGCAGTGCCAACACATGGGGAAGTAAGTAGCCCGTGTCTGGGCGGGGGCTGGGTCCCTCCGCCACTCTTTCCTGCCCCCGGTGGTCTGGTCGACCCATTGCTCAAGACACCCCACTTGCAGGCTGCTCTACCTCCTGCCCATCTCACTGCTGCCGCAACAGAAGTAAGTCAACATCACCCCCCTGCCACGTCACCAACCACCACCAAATACATATCTTCTTCGAACCCCCAACCCCTCCTTCTGATCTCTTAGCTTTCTCTCTTTTAAGTGTTGTTTCATTTTTAAACCAAAATGCAAATTGTAAAAGATAAAAATTTGAAGATACAAAGTGAATCGGTCGTTTTAGAAACTCGTCATGTAGAGCCAAATCAATTTTTGTTTTTTCGTGATTTTCAATTTATTTTAGGTGCCTAGATCTACAGATTGCAACAGAAACGCATTGTGTCTGGACCTTGTAAGCTATTTTAAAAGCGGATTGCAATAACTGTGTAATAGTGTACCCTAACCCAAAAATATCAATAAAAATTAAAAAGATAAATGATCTTTGAAAGATAAAAAACTACCTGCCACTCACCAAAAGTGATCAACTGTGATGGAAAAAATCTTCAACTGGTCCACAACAAATTAGGAAATAGAAAACCTTAGTTAATTAAGTTTAACATATTGGGTTGTCCGGAAAATAATGCAGGATTTTGGTATTAAACAAAAAAAAAGAAACTAGTTACTTTAAAGCAATGTTCTTTAATCAAAATAATTTCCCNCTGTAAACGTAAACAGAATATTTTATATAGATTTTTTTTAATGAAAACTTAAAATCCTGCATTATTTTCCGGACAACCCAATATTTCGTTGGGACTCTAAAATTCATGTTTAAACTACTGATTTTATACTATTATGATTTTCATTGCATTGTTTAATTTAAAAAAAAAAAAATCAGTCAATTTTTGGTGTTTGTTTCAGCAGAAACACATTATGTCTAAATTGAATTCAATAATTTGGGTATTTTAGATCAGTTAAAAAAAAATCAAAGCTCTTGATAAACAAGAAAATGAAAAAGTAAACAGCCTGATAATAGGACCCCCCACCCAGAAAATATGATTCCTTGGACACGAGTTTCTGAAATGACTGATTCAAATATTTTCATTAAAAAAATTCATTGAAACTTGAGTTTCGTTTTCATATGACATAATTTTTCTAAGAAAGTTTACAATTTGCATAAGGTAAGATTTCATGCACTTATTTTTCTTTTGATGTGTATTAGAGTTTAATAAAGAAAGGGTTATTTCCTTGGCTTTTAGATAATCATCTATGCATAGACATTTCTAGCTTTTATTGTTAGTCAAGAGGAGATGGCCTATTTCTATTATTTTCTTTGCTCCAACTTGTTTTTATTAAGTTATTGTATTGTTAATTTCTTTTTTCTTTTTTTTAAAAAAAAGCTCGTTCATTAATCCAAAATACAAATTATTGTTTTGTGTTGAGAACCTTATTGTTGAACTTAATGCATGTGCATGATTTCTTTTAAAATAAAACAAGTATTTTTGGCAAATTCTATATTTTATATTGTACAGGACGAGCCGAAATAAGTGTTACGCTGGCGTATATTTCAGCAAAGAAAGCCTAGTGACAAGTTTGAATCAGTTCACCACTTAATTGTAGCATAGAGCTAAGCTGTGTTCAGCATCGTGTCATAAAAAAAGTAGAATAAAATGAAAAAGCTACCTTCACAATCATCGTGAACCTCCAACCATCCTGTAAGAATTAATGGAAAAGTAAAAAAAGTGGATACACAAAACTAAAAACCAATTAAACAAAACATTTAACTGTACAAAGGGTAACTACATATAAATTTAGGAACAGGGATGAAATACTGTAAGTTCTCAATTAACACCACTGTTAGGGATCTGGAAATAGTGACGTTAATGGGAAAAAAAAACACGAACTTGATACACAAAAACAGTTATAAAAATGGGGAAAAAAGCGAAGGGATTTCTGAGAATCATATTGACAAGAAACACAGTCAGTCAATGTTGGTCAGGTCCATAAGAGTGACTTAGTGACGTAATAACTAAACAATACGATGTTAACTAAAAATTACGCCATAAAGTCAACGTAAATAACTAAACAACATAAACAGACGGTATTAACTGAGGATCTACTGTATTAAATTTTACTACTGAAAAACCTCTGGAAATATATCACCCTTGTCTTTCCAAGCTGAGATTCATGCAATTAAATTAGAAAAGAATAATTAATGCTACAGATATTGGACATCTTATCTACAATTCCAAAGCTTCTTCAGCAGCCATTGTCAATTTTTTCTCCCTTTAGCACTTAGTCCCTTACTAAACGATTTCCAGGAAGATTTTCATTTCTTTTATGAGGAAGAAAATTCTTCTCAAAGAAATCGTATCAAGTTCTGTTTGGCTCAAGAATGGCTTTTCCAGTTACCATAGCCTTTTCCTAGCAGTTGCAAGGAATGTCCTGTCATCTCTTCTAAACATAGTCATCTGTTGATAGTCCCATTTAAAAAAAAAAAAAAAGTTTGAAGGTCCTATTTTACAGGAGCATGTTCTGTAAAATACCCGCCATTGTCGTGGGAAATACTATGTTGAAAAAATTCTGTTGACTGACCATATGAATCAGAAATTATAACATTAGACCCTCTAGTCCTTGGTTCTAATCCCAGCATTTTGCTTGGAATTTTAAAATCAAATTATGAAAAAAAAATTGTAAAGTAGTGTGAGAACCCTCGTTCACAACACCTGAATAGTTGAACATGTGCTCTTCTGTACAACAAGTGGAATTACTTTACTTTTTTACTTGGTATATACATTTATTTAACATATATGTAAAAAACCATCCCTAAATCAACGATCAATATTGGCCGTTGATAATAATTATGCACCTTATTATAGCTTTTCATGGGGATTAGGTTTTACTGTAGCAACGCGGTTAGGGTGTCCGACTCTCCACTGGGTATACCAGCCAAAGACTGATGCCGTAACCACACAACTTGACCAGCAGTCGTGGGTTCGATTCCTACCGTTACCCTTGGAATTTTTGACCCCTTCTCGGAAAAAGTCTGAATTCCATTCAACACATCTGACTTATGTAATGGGTACGACGCAATAAAAAAAACCTTTGATTTAAAACTGGTCGACAATTTTTTAGAAGGAAGAAAACACACAGAAAAAAAAAGACTCAATATATTTTAAACTAGAATTTAAATTGAACTGTTTGTCACTAGCTTTCATTGCTGTTAATATTTATGGCTTTGTAAGACTTATTTCTATTGTATAAGTGTAATAATTTTCATTAATAATTGAAGGAACGTGTATTTAGAACATTTTATTTTCAATTTTTGGAAGGAATTAAGCATTAAGTGGGAAAACGGAATAAAAGTAAAAGTAGTGGAGGGTGCACCAGGTCTAGGACTTATAGTTACAGCTTATTTCGTGTCTGGGAGCGCTCTTAAGCATGGCTTCTCTTTTGCTTGCTTCTTTCTTTCTTTTGTTTATCAAAAAGTAACAGGCATTTTCTCAAGTTTCACTTTTGATTTTATTTTTGTTTCACTCAAACCAGAGAGATCAGAATGAACACACATAATCATATGTACTATTTTTATTTATTTTTAATGTGATGACCCTTGCGATTGGTCTTAACTATTTTCTCCCTGAAGTTTTAGACCCTCTAAGGTAATCGTGACGTGGGGGTGAGACTTACTGAGGCCAGTGAAAATATTTCCCTTTCTCCTTTAATAAATTGTCGATTTCCATAAAGGAATCACTGTAAATTTCCACTCAATTCTAGTTCCTCGACGGTGATGACGCCCTATCCTCCAATGTAAGTACCTTTCACGATAATTCCACATCTGCAACTTCCATTGTGCTACCGATTTTTCAAGTTTGGTTTCCATTTATTATTATTTTCTTGCAGACATTTAATTAAATGTTGCTTTCAATTTAAAAAAAATATTTCAAAAAAATTAATTTTTTATATTATAAAATAATTTACAGTATCACATCATGACAATTTGTTAGTATGTTTTAATAAGTAATTATTTTATAGTGTTTAATTTTATTTTCACTTATGTTTGTTTAAAATGAAAACAAAGAAGCCACCTTTCCTCATCCAATGGTCCTTGTGGAAATTTACTTGGAAAACTAGGAAGAAAAAATATAAAGGAAATCATTTCCCAGCGATCTGAGCGCCAAGAAATTTTATACAATGATAAATTGAAAATGTGACAAGATTACGGTTGTATCGCTTTTGTATGAAAATGCCAGATTGTGTAGCAGGTGTCTGACAAAGAAATCTTTCAATTTGCCACTTTTAAACAAAAGCTCCTCATGTCAATTCCAATTAATTTTTTTTTTTTTGTAATATCATTTTTATCACATGACACAACCTGAGATTTTAAAAGTCTCGAGGTACAAAATGTTTTCTCTATTTCAGCTCTTGATTTTTAAAAAGGTTTTTGATAAGTGAATATCTTAAAAAGCAGGTTGAAGTTCTGACTGACCCAAACAGCCAATAATTTCAATAATGTAGTCCAAAATTTAAATATAAAATGCCAGACATAAAAAAAGTTGGTTCTGGCTGTAAAATAATAAACAGTTCTAAATATTTCACTGTAAAAAAAATAATAATAATAAATAAATAAAAATTTAAATGTTTAATAAATATCTGAATCAAGAATTGAACAAAACTACGCTTTTCAAAGGAAAAATGCTATCTTGTTTATTTATTTATCTATTTTCAAGAATATGAATAAATAGTTGATAACATTCATAGTCAAAAAAATAAAAAACTTTTTTGAGGATGTTAATAAATACCCATTTATATTAAAAATCGATATTATCCTTAGTTTAATAGGGCTACAGTGCATTATTAATTTAATCATTTAGATTTTACATACAGTAAAACAGTACGTTTTAACAAGTTTTATCAAAAATAAAAAATATGTGTGAAATACATGTTGTTCTGCAGGTAGCATGACGATATTTATCGAAAAACAA